CGAATAGTGCGAATAGTCGACGAATAGTACGAATAGTCCGCGAATAGTCGACGAATAGTGCGAATAGTCCGCGAATAGTCGACGAATAGTGCGAATAGTCCGCGAATAGTCGACGAATAGTACGAATAGTCCGCGAATAGTCGACGAATAGTACGAATAGTCGACGAATAGTGCAATAGAGACTTTGCAAGGCTTTCCACCGTGCTGTAGAACTAAATTTACCGAAGCGGGACGGGGGGGGGGGCTCTATTGACAAACATGAAATCGTGAAAACATTCGTTGATGTCAATGACGTCATACGTAATTGGTAAAAATTACGGGACCACTGAGTTTTAACAAATATTTAACAGGAAGTAGAATGACAATCAGTGGCGCCGTGGGACCCATGTTTTTTTTTTGGGGGGGGCAAGGGCAGTACTTTTCCGACAAACCGAAAAATTTTTCCGACAAACCAAAAAGTTTTCCGGACGCCAACATTTTAAATCTTCACTCCCCCCCCCGTCGACAACTTTGACAATTTCCGACAGCCTTGACAATTTTCCGACAATTTCCGGCAGCATTGGCAATTTTATGACGGGTGTCAACAATAGGGGAGGGCCATGCCCCCTCCCTGCCCCCCCCCCGGCGCCACTGATGACAATCACTAGACGTATGACGTCATTGACGTACGTCGACGAATGTTTTCACGATTTCATGTTTGTCAACAGAGCCCCCCCCGGTAAATTTAGTTCTACAGCACTGCTGCAAAGCCTTGCAAAGTCTCTATTGCACTATTCGTACTATTCGTCGCCTATTCGTGGACTATTCGTCGACTATTCGCGGCTATTCGTCGACTATTCGCACTATTCGTCGACTATTCGCGGACTATTCGCACTATTCGTCGACTATTCGCGGACTATTCGCACTATTCGTCGACTATTCGCACTATTCGCTTCACTATTCTAGTTTTATCAATTGCCACTGTGTACTGCCTCAGTTCAGATCTTGGCGGTAAACTGGTAATATATTTTCATTTTTGAAATCAAAAAGCAAATATAAATTCACATCATTGGCAGAGATGGAACTATTACATTCTGTGAAGAAAAGACCTTTTGATAAAGTTCAACTAGATTGGACCCATGGACATGGCCTTAATTAAAAAACCCTCGTGAAAAAGCATGCCACCTTATCTGAAAAGCACATGGTATGGGCATCATCAAGAAAATATCTTCCATATTTGATACTAATTCTGTCTTGAAACATCTGTAAACTGCAAAATTAAAAAACGAAACAATAGTGTTAGAATACACAAGTGACCAAATACTTCTTAGGCTAAAGCAAAACTACATTTCTGGCGAAATAAAAGCTTCAAAATTGGGCAAATTCAAATTTAGGCATGTCAAAATACAGCTAAGAAAAATGCCTCAAAAACACTCAAAATAAAACCATCAGACTTCAATCTAACGCAATCCATGTTCCCAGTATAATAATTCATCCTAAAATATAACTAAACACGCTTGAAATAAAATATTTAGAAAGAAATACCTTGAAAACTTCTATACTCTTCCAAGCAACATCTGCAAAGGAAAATCAATATGGCGTCTTTACTCGTTCCAGACTTCTATGAACATTCAAAGTTTCAATTAACAATTTTCAGCTAGGGAGAATTTACCTTTTGATCGAGATAAAATTCGACTTTTCGTTCATTATTTTTTACGAAAACTACACTTTTAAGTTAAAATAATGCGTGTTCTTATATCAAATACACCTGGAGATCATTGGTTTTTAATATTTACGTATTCAAAACAATTTTGGACAAGATTTTAGAGTTATTCACTGGTAAATCAATTATTAAATACATCGAATAATAATTAGCCAAAAAGTTAATAGCCGCTTGGCTTCGCTGCGCTCATCCATCATCAAATATGAACAGTTTGATGAAAACAATTTCATTGGCTATTTATCTAGCATATTTCACTTGCAGTGGTGAAAAGCAGGACAAAACCGACCGCATTCAAGCCAAAAATAAGTGGGACAAAAATGGATTCATCGTTTATTGTCCGTGCATGGGTAAGCGAAATATTACATTGTTGCCACTTGCCATTGTTGCTATTTAATAGTATTCTAAGTCCACGTGTAAAATGTATTAGTATATCGCTTTATATGTAAAAATATTTTAAAATTTTCGTGAGTCCGTATGAAATTTAAGCGCGGTCGTAATATTTAAATTCATGGTTAGAAAATAGGTAGAAAATTTTAACCCTGCATTAAGTTATTTATAGTCATTGTAGAAATGACATTTTTGACTAAAACAATGACATTTTTTATAGCACATGTTTCGCGGGGAAGCGCGCCAAAGTTAAACGTCAAGCATTTTGTGGCTTTTGTCAAGGCTGAGGTTTTTAAAGTCAAAGCCTTGTAACTTTTTGGGCTGATGAAATGCGATCAGAGGAATTCCAGGGGCATGGTCCCCTGGAAAATTTTTCTATTTTTAGGGTCTGCAAAACTTAGACAGGTATTATATTATGAGAATCAGAAAGCCACAGATTTGGTATATTTTATGTCATAGATGAAAACACTAAGAAGTTAGCCCCCCCCCCCACCCCAACTTCTCATCAGTTTTGAAGGAATCACAAAATTGGTCCTGAAGAAAAGTGGGGGAGGGTCCGGACCTCTCATCCCC